GACAAGGTTCCAGCACCTTCGAGTGTTCTCTCGTTCCCCCTGCCACGAGAACAGCACAGTCCTTCATGGCTGGGGGAAGGGGGTGCCCAGGATGAGAAGAAACAGAACAGAGGCGCAGGTTTCAGCCCCCTGTGAGCCTAGCATCTTCAGGGCCAGCTCCCGTGTTAATCACCTGTAGAATGCCCTTTCCGTTACTTCCAGCTATCACTTTGTGCAGTGTAAGATGTTCCCACCCAGAGGCGTTCCTGATCGCCGTCACCGTAACCTTATGAGGCTACGTTTCGTGACCTTGAGCTTGATGGTCTCCAAAGTGCAGTCTCTCCTGAAGTTATGACCTTGAATGAAGCGTGCTCAGAGACGTGCTCCTTAACTGAGCATGCTCAGGAACGCGCCCACCCTCAAGTGTTTTATATATATTCATATATATAAATTCATATATATGTACATATATATGAATAATATATATACATATACTTACATATCCCCAGATAAAATCCTCCATGCTTCTTTTATTCAAGGACGGCATTGCTTTGGAAATAACGCTGTGTTTTCCTTAGTAGGTCAGGATCTGAACCCCTCTGCTGTTTGGTGTCTTGGCCAGGCTTGTTCAGGTTTGCACTTAGTGAGATGGGACCCTGCAGCCTTTGGTTACCCAGCCAGACATGCCAGGCCAGAAACTGGAGCTTGCTTTTTGAAGCTGAAGAGCCTTGAATTGTTTGTTACTGCAATAAATCTGGCCAAGGTACACGGAGTGACATTTTCACATTGAAGAAAGACCTTGATGGGTTTGCTTGGGCATTGGAACTGACACAGAAGCCTGAGTTTAGGAATATGGATTTTAAAGAGCACAACTGATGTGTGCAAGACATGGGAAATAAAATACAGAAGTCAGAAGTCTGAGCCAGGGAGCAGAAATATTCAAAAACTTGCGTGTTGACTTGTAGACCAGGTGCATCACACTCGGAATTTTATGTTGCTTCTGCTTCAAGTAAGCGCACCACACTCATGCCGTACATGAGTGTATTTTTGCTGGCGATCAAAGAACAGCAGGGCTGTCCTTCCACGACTGTGTAGCAAGAATCCCACCAACTTTTTCTAGCCCCCACAGCTTTGGAATATAGCAATCGACAGATCTGAAAACCACAACGAGAGGTTAGTTCTAATTACACACTCAATGATAATTCACATCAGTCAAGAGATGTTGGTCCCAGTAATCCAGCTGTGTTTTACGATCAGAAAAGGTATGAGGACTTTCCAAGGATAATAGAAAAAAATTACTTAATAGCTTCCTAATGATTATTCAATGACATCTGAAGATAAAACGACTTAAGGTTAAAAAAATCCTCTTTTAAAAGGGGCTAGCAGGATGCCTCAGTCAGTAAAGGCTCCTGTAGCCAAGCCTGGGACCTCAGTTCGACACCCAGGAGCTAATGATTCCCACAAGTTATCCTCTGGTCTCCATGCACATGCTATTCAGGGTGCCCCATTCCCACACGTGGGAAGTAAATGAACAAAAATGTAGTTAAAGTTTAAAAGAACAGAGTTGTTTTTTTCTCAGTAGTAGTAGGTTTGTTTAGCATATATGAAACTCTAGATCTGATTCCCCAACAACACACACGAGACAGTAAATACATATATACATCATATGTATCTACAATAAGATATGTAATATATGTCAACTGTATTTAAAAGTATTTTAAAGTGTCACCATGAGGCTTTTTGGTGAGAGAACTTCCAATAACTGCATCCCCAAAATTTAAACCAGCGTTTGGGCAGAAATTAGGCAGGACACCAAAATAAGGCTTATAAAACGTTAGACGGTGACACCATTAATATTTATAGATAGAATGATTGAGTACCTGGAGATTTGGAAGGACTGTGAATAACATTAGCGAAACAGGCCTCCATAAATCACAGAGACAGGGATAGCCACATCATGCTGCTTTTGGAAAAACCTAAGGGTTTAAAGATGTCAGCACCTCCCTGAATAAATTCATAGGTTCCCCGCCTATTTGTTTTCTTATTTGTTGCTAGTTTTCTTATGTGTTTCAGGGAATCTCACAACATGGTTCTGAAGTCCATTTTTCAACTGTAAAAAGAATAGAGTAGCCAAGAAAAGTTTTTTTTAAAAGCGAAGTAATGTATATAATTTAGCCTCTGTGCCAGAATCGAAACATAAAAATGCATGGTGGTAAGATTAGAACAGTATGGGATCCAGTAGACTTTGGTTTCAAGCCAGGCGGTGGTGGCGCACTCCTTGGATCCCAGAACACAGGAGGCAGAGGCAGAAGGATCTCTGTGAGTTTGAGGCCAGCCTGGACTACAGAGAGAATTCCAGGACAGCCAGGGCTACCCAGAGAAACCCTGTCTCAAAAAAAAACAAAAAAACAAAAACAAAAAACAAAAAATTGATCTCAACTCCAAGCCCTGGCACCTTAGACTGTTAAGTGTTAGTATCCGTAAACAGAATCTGTATTTGAGACCCCAACTGTTGCAGCCTCCTCCTCACCGCTCACTGCCTGTCCTTGCCCTGGAGCCCACATGGATGGGGAACCTTCCCTGCCTCATGTCCTTGGGTCTCACCGAGTGAACTGTTTTAGTGAGCACCACTGGGCAGAAGTCACTGTTTAAATAAAGCCCAGGCCCTCAGGAGCCTGCACAGCTGGGTACCTCCTTCCATCTCTCTGCCCTCACTAGACGGGACAGCCACCTGTAGTGGGAGATCCTGATCTGTGGCGCCGACCGCAGGTACTTACGTGAGCCTGTGGGATTTGGTCTGGGGTCCCGGACAGGGTTGCCCTCTCCGGGTTCCGCAGCTGGGCGTTGATCTCGGAGCTGGAACTTGTGGGTTATCCGTTTCTCACGTAAGTGACTTCTCCCCAGATAAAATTATCCTATATTACCCTAGTCCCACCTATCTTAATCTGTGCATCTACAGCCACCCTACAGCCTGGGTCTGGGGGGACACATGGAGGCCAGCTGCCTCAGCTGCCATGCAGATCTAAGAGAACAGACCATTGCTGTTTAGACCTATTGAGAATCGGTCAATAAAAGGTACCAGCTGTTTCCTTTTTTTTTAATGGAAGTTCCCAGGAGTTAACTCAAATACTTCTGCTTTGACCTCACTGGCCAGAATTGAGACACACAGCCAATACTGCCTGTAGGAGACTGGGAAGCATAGCCGGGCTAACCTTAGCATTTCATTACCTTGGAAGAAAAAATAAAGTCTAAATGTGCATCCAGACATATGTGTAGATGGGCGTGCGCGTGTGTGAGCGGCGCTGATGTTGGAATTCATGACGCTGCATCCGTGAAGTGTGCGAGGCATGTGTGCTACACTGAGCAACATCCCCAGCCCCGTCTCTCCACATCTCTAGGGGATCCTTCTGTGTCAATAAAGAGCCCTTTCAATACTGTGATATGGAGTACGCAGTGCTGTGGGACATTAGTTTAAGATGCGTTACTTTTCCTTTATGCTGTGGAGCGTTTGTCTAACGATGCCAAGATGGGTTGCATTCTTTCCCGTTGCACTTGTTTAACTCTGCGAAGCTGTGTGACTCTGCCTGCCTAAAACACCAGATTGTTCTAATAAAGGGCTGAACGGCCAAGAGCCAAGAGGGGCGGCTGGCTTTGAGGTCTCGGATGCTCAAGCCAGGCTCGGTGTGGGAATCTCTCTTCCTGCAGTCTGACGATCTGGATTTAGTATTCTCAGCTACTATGATGCCCTGCTTGCCGCCATGATAACAATGAACTAAATGTTCGAACTGCAGGCCCAGTCCCCATGAAATGTTGTCCTTTATAGGAGTTGCTGTGGCCATGGTGTCTCTTCACAGCGATAGAAACCCAAACTAAGACACAGAGTTTGACATCATATTATCTTTTTTTTTTTTATGAGACAGGGTTTCTCTGTATTGTTTTGGAGGCTGTCGGTCCAGCCCGGCCTCGAACTCACAGAGATCTGCCTGCCTCTGCCTCCCGAGTGCTGGGATTAAAGGCGTGCGCCACCACCGCCCGGTGACATCATATTATCTTGTAAAGGAAAATAATATTTAGGAGCTGGAGAGACGGCTTGTGGTTAAGGGATTTGCTGTACCTGCAGAGGGACTGGATTTGATTCTAGGCACCTGTATGGCAGTTCACAACCTTTTCGAACTCCAGTTCCAGGGAGATCTGATACCCTTTCTGGCCTCCACAGGCACCGAGCACACATTTGGTACACAGAAATACATAAAAATAAAAAAAAGAAATATTTAAAAGGTGTCTCCATTTTAAAGAGCAGGCAATGCAGATGAATTTGCTGGAAACAAAATGATCTATGGCACACTCATATTTTTTTTTGGTTTTGTTTTGTTTTTCTAGACAGGATTTCTCTGTGTAACAGCCCTAGCTGTCCTAGAACTCGCTCTGTTTATCAGGCTGGTCTGGAACTCACAGAAATCCACCTGCCTCTGCCTCCCAAATGCTGGGATTAAAGGCGTGCGCCACCACTGTCCAGCTGGCACACTTATTTTTATCTGTGGTTTTGTTTTGGAGTAGGATGTTGAACCCAGTCCCTCACACATGCTAGACAAATGAGCATCCATGAAGCTACTGTCCTGCCCAACTCGCTCTGCTTTCGGTGTATAATTCATGCATCAGCGGCCTTTTAAAATTCTCGATGCTTTCTCTGTGGAAACTGATTTCTACTCATTCAGCAAACACTTGCCCCGGGAATAAATGCTCTGGGAACTTCTCTTTCTTAAAACATGGCACTCTGGGGCCAAGGCTGTCTCTCTCTGCTGGCAGAAGGCTTGTCTAGCATGCCCAGAGCCTTGGGTTCAATAACTAGTCCTGTGTAAACCAGGCATGACAGTACATGTTTGTAATCTTGTCAACAGGGGCAGACACACCGCTCTACACTGTCACTCTCAGTGGCCCAATGAATCTTTTTAGGGACCCAGACTCAAGCAAACCCAGATCCCTGGCTTTGATGTTAAAAAGAATTTCGGTACTAACCAATATGAAGAGGAGTTTGGGTTTCATTAAAAATAGGAGGTAAGGCACTTAAGAAAATAATAAGAGCACAGTCCTGAGCACGGGTGTGAGCTTCTCACAGAAGACTTGCCATTCGTGAAAAGATGCTCTTAACACAGATTTTTAAATATAGAGCTTGAGAGGAGAGATGCCCAGGGAAACAGCAAGACACGCTTAGGGATACAGACTTCTGAGTTATCTTAACCACCAACTGCATATACGATTTTGGTGGCTCTCAAGTTACAACTCAGAGAGCCAAGAATCTCCCTCCTCGTTGCTTCTTTTGATGGGGGAGATTACAAGGTGTCTCCAGAGGAGCCTTGGATGGGCTTACAATCTGATAAAACCAGGAGCCACCAGAGCAGGAGTGAGTCATTCTCCTTCAACCCACCGCCAACCCGTAATCCCAGAGGGACCAGGGCAAGGGAGTCGAGTTGTTAGCTTGTCTTGAGAGGACTGCCTTAGATGACCTCTACAGAAGACCAGAGGATTAAGTAAACAGGGACTTCACGCTCCTTCTTTCCTTCCTTCCTTCCTTCCTTCCTTCCTTCCTTCCTTCCTCCGACTTCCTCCTGAGTCTCTCTATCTCCAGCACGAGTGGTCCGGGAAGCAGCGTTGACTAGCATTCACTGTAATACAGACACAGGCACAGAAGGATAGTGAACCTGGGTTAGCAAAAGGAACCTGTGCAGCCCACAGCTGGACGTGCCAGGCACTTACGTGAGAATCAGGGAGAGTAAATGATACAGTTTGGCTTTGGGATGACTCACGTTTAGGTTGGGGAGAATGAGAGGGAAAAGTTCACCGCAGAGCATCAGACATACGCCAGCAGTCACCGCCCTGCGGGTAGCCAGCCAGGGTTCTGGTGGTTGGGTTGGGAAGGGCTTCCTGGAGGATAAAGCTGGTAAGAGAGTAAGGAACCTGTTTTAAAGGGTGGTAAGTTGAGTCCATATTGAAGTCTGATAAGTTGAAAAAAAAAATCATGAAATGAAATTCTCAACTGCTGAACCACGGAAAAAGAGAGTTCGGTGTGGAAGTGAGGAGAATGGGAAGTGGATGGGGGTAGTTTCCAAAGTCCTTCTCAGTGCTGACGCTTAAACAAAATGACATTGCTGTGTATGTGTGTGTGCGCGTGCGCGCGCGCATGGGGGGGTGTGGGTGGGAGGGTAGGGGCAATCCTGCCACAGCACGTGTGTGTGTGTGTGTGTGTGTGTGTGTGTGTGTGTGTAGGGCCAGGACAACCTTGTAAAATCTGTTCTCTCTTTACACCTTTGTGTGTCAAGTGCCTTTACCTACAGCACCATTTCATGGCGTGTACTGACATTGTTTTTTGTTATTTTTGCCATTGTCCTGCTGTAACGTATTCTTCCTGACAGCCTGGTCCCAGAGATGTGTCAGTCCCAAATGAACACACAGGATGCTATATTAGTTATGAAACTGTTGGATGTTTGCTATGGTTTCTTAATGGCTACCTCTGACTTAATTATTAACCCGTTTGTCCTCTCTTCCCGGGATCACATGGCGACTTTCTACTCTTGACTATATTTCCCAGAATTCTCCTTGAATCCTAGTCCCACCTATCTTGCTTCCCTGTTGGCCAACAGTGCTTTATTTATCAACCAATAAGACAACATACACACAGAAGGACGTCCCCCATCATCCTGCTACCTCTGACTTTGAATAGGTGAAACAGGTATACAGCTGTGCACTACTTTCTCTTATTCACAGAATATGGGTTGATGCGCGTTAAGACCAAGATTCACTTCATACGCATGGTTCCAGCCTCCAAGAAAACCTTGCGCAGGTCTTCACTTAAGAACATTCTATAAAAAATAAGCAAACTCACTTGTATAGTTGTGAGAAAGTGTGTGTGTGTGTGTTTGCATGTATCTCAAAGTTGAGTAGTATACAACACAAACAAATGGATGTGTAAGGGGTCAAATTAAGATGGGTTTAGGGCTGTTGGGGTCAGGAAGAAGGAAGGAAGGAAATGAAAAAAAGAGAAGGAAGAGAAAGAAGAAAGAGAAGGAAGAGAAGGGAGAAAAAGAAGGAAAGGTAGGAAGAGAAGAAGGAAAGGAAAAGAAGGAAGGAAAGGAAAAAAGAGAAGGAAGAAAAGAAAGGAATGAAGGAAGGGGGAGGAAAGGAAAAAAGAGAAGGAAGGAAGGAAAGGAAAAGAGAAGGAAGGAAGGAAAGAAAGAATAAAGGAAGGAACCTCTTGTATCTTTTCCCCAGCACCCTTATTAGTGGTCGGTTTCCCAGGTTACCCAACAGGACCGCAGTGGGGACTTGGTGCTCTAAATATGAAGCACTGAGCGATCACTGCAGTAAACATTTTCCGTCAGCAGACTAATTATTGGGCTTGTCCACAATCAAAACCAACTCGAATTTCCAGAAGTATCCCAACTACTGTAGTTACAATTGTCAAATTAAGGCTCGGGGGCTAGGGGACCAAAACTAATAACAGTACCTAATAATTACAGGCCAACTAGCGAGGGAAGTGTGGGCAGTTACTTAGACTTCAAACGGATTTACAAGACGATTGGCAGGTATCCTCGAGGAATCCAGAGACGTGAGTCAAATCTCAAGGTGGGCCAGCGTCCGTCCTCCAGCTGAGCATGCCTTGGGCGGGGAAAGTCTCTCCTCCAGCGGCGGTAGCCTCACCTCTGGCTCAGTTCTGGCTTAGCGTCTCATCTCCAGTCCCATCAGCGCCTGACCCCACCCACCCCTCCTGGCCGCGCTCCGCCCCGCCCACTCTCTCCTCTCCCCGCAGCGCTCGGCTCCGCCCACTCTTTCTCGGCCGCGCTCGGCTCCGCCCACTCCCTCCCGGCCGCGCTCGCCTCTACACAAACTCTCTGGGCCGCGCTCGGCCCCGCCCACTCCCCCGTCAGCGGCCTTAGGCTCCGCCTATTCTCTCCAGTCAGCATTCGGCCCCGCCCAACCTCTCCCGGCAGCCTTCCGCCCCATCCGTCCCTCCGGGTCGCGTTCGGCTCCGCCTATTCCCTCCCGGCTTCGCCCACCGCTCCAGGCCGAGCTCGGTTCTACCCACAATCTCCCGTCCTCACTCGGCTCCGCCCACCCTCTCCCGGCTCCTCCCACCCTCTTCCGGCTCCGCCCACCCCTCCCGGCCGCGCTCACGTCCCTCTCATCCTCTTAGATCGGCGGCGCCCGGCTCAACCCACGCTCTCCCGGCCTTATAGGCTCCGCCCACCCTCTCCTGGCCGCGCTCCGCCCACCCCTTCCGGCTCCGCCCACCGCTTCTCTCGGCCCCGCTCCGCTCTACCTACTCTCCCGGCCGCATTCGGCTCCGCCCACCCCCTCCCGGCTCCGCCCACCGCTCCTCTCGGCCGCGCTCCGTTCTACCTACTCTCCCGGCCGCATTCGGCTCCGCCCACCCTCTCCGGGCTCCGCCCCCTCTCCCGGCCCCGCCCACCCTCCGCTGGCCGGGCTCTTCCCAAGCTCCAAGCGCAGGCCGCGGCCGAGGGGCGGGGCGGGGCCGGCGGCGGGGAGGGACCGCGTTCCCGAGCGGGAGGGAGATCCGCCGCGGAGTTACGGGAAAGTTGTTCCGAGTTCCCGGGAGTTTCCCGGTGTGCTCGCCCGCGCTCGGCCGGCCGCCCCCAGGCTCCTTTCCTCCCCAGCGCCCTCACGGTCCACTCGGACCCTCTGGCTGCCTGCCACCGGCCGCCATGGAGCAGCCGCCGGCGCCCAAGAGGTAACGACGGCGGGAGCGGGAGGAGGACGGACGGAAGCCGCGGGGCGGGGGCGGGGGCGGCTAGGCCAGGCCTGCTGTGCGACCCAGGCGCCCACGGCCCGGCCGCGTCCTTTCCGCGAGGCCGGGGTCAGCGGCGCCCCGAGGGGACGCCGGGTCTCCGCTGCCGACGGTCGGGCTCGCCCGGGGCCTGGCGCTGGGCTCCCCCGCCCCCCGCTGACCGTGGGGCTAGGAGGGCTAGGGGACGAGGACATCCGTGCGGGCTTCTCTCTCTTTCTCCTTTTTTTATTTTTTGGTCAAGTGTTCTTCATAATATCATATGGCCTTTCACCTGGAGAAGACGGGCTGCCTATTTACAGTTTAAGTGCGTTCCTGGTCTCGCAGGGTGCAGGCACGTTATGGGTACGCTGCAATGACAGGTGTTTTCTCTGCGCCTCAAGTTGTGGAGAATTTATGGATGCGAGAGACCCGAGGAATGTTGAGTCAGAGGACCCCCCCCATAGAGTTTTGCGTGTAAAAATAGTGGTACTTTTTGTATTGTTTATGTTTAATGTTGGACCTTTTGGATGCATATGTGTACAGCATGTTTGAACTAATACTTTCGGCGATCTTAGGAAGCTGAATAAACGCCCCGTCGGTAAAAATTCATAATATGCACTCCCCTCTGCCCCAAGAGTGAATCAATTAATTGTTTGAGGATGGATAGAAAACATTTAACCTCACTCTTTCATTTTTAATTTACACAGATCTCTCCGAGAGAGAGTGCTGGGGTGAAGATTAAAGGCTTCATGTACTTTGATAGCTAGAGATCTTTAGATGGGAGAGTGTTTTAGACTCATGAGCGCGGAATAATTAAGAAGGTAGGACTTTGAGAGCGAGTGGTTGTGAATTGTGTGATTAGATATGTGAGCCTTGGGGCCCGGGAACCCATCTGTTCATGTGTTAAAAAGGGAGGTCGTGGACAGGTTCCCAGAAGGGACAGGCTAGCGTCTGAGCCCTGCAAGCAAGTCAGTTGATAGATTTTTTAGCATGTTATTGGTGTCTGTCATCCCGGTAACATGGAAGAAAACCTGAAACCTCTTCTGTTTCTTTCTGCTTTAGAAGAGTCTGAGACCATGGCGTAGGCCACCTTGAATGACTGAATCGAAGTAGAGGCTCCTTATTGATTAGCTCTACCGTAAATTAGCAGTTTCATTAGTGTTGTAAGAAGATACAGGCGCCTGACAAGACGCGTCAGTGAACCCGGACAATCAGAAGTTGTGGGTGATAATTCCATAGTGATTTATGCTTCACAAAGCAGTCGTTGCAAATAAAACGGACTTATTTTCAACTTTAAATTTCTTTAGAGAGACTCATCATTGTAATCTAGAAATGCAAATCTCTTAGCTCTTTCCCCGCCCTCCCCTCGTATGTTTTTGGTCCTGCCTTACACACACACACACACACAGACACACCCTCTCTCTCTCTCTCTCTCTCTCTCTCTCTCTCTCTCTCTCTCTCTCTCTCTCTCTCTCTCTCTCTCTCGTGCATGTAAGCCCATGTCTTGCGTGGAAGCCAGGACAACTTGCAGGAGTTGTTTCTCTTTAACCTTGTGAATCCTGGGGCTTAAACTCAGGTGGTCTGGCTTAGTGGCGAGTGCCTTTTCCTTCTGGGTTATTTTGCTGTCCCACCAGAAAGGCATTTCTAAAATACAAATGATACAGGATACTAATCTTTTGTATCTTAGTATCTCAGTGTCTTTCATAGCATTTCAAACTCATAATATTTGTCCTCATACCAACTCTATGGGACAGGTTGGATTACAGAAAGCATACAAGTTTGCCACATAGAAGCCTAGGAGTTACTGACAGGTGAATTTCTGGGTTGCTATTTTGATCTTTGCTGTCTATTAATATAGTAATAGTATAGCTGTCATTGTTAAATTGTACTGTTTGTCAGGAAATTTATACATTGTGACTTAACACTGGGGCTTTTATTCCAGAGACTCACTAGGTGATTGTGTGTGTGTGTGTGTGTGTGTGTGTGTGTGTGTGTGTGCGTGCGCGCGCGTCTGTAGAAGGCTTACACACCCTCATCTGTATGGTCTGCCATTGACTGAAACATTATTATGTGATGTGATTGGTCAGCATCCTTTGGTCAGTAGTTGTCTTGGGAAATGGTAATCCTGACCCTACCACTTACTATGCTAGTTCTAAATTTAAATGTCTTCACCTGTAAAATACATCATGGGAATGAAATGGACTTGTGTGTAAGGCACTTAGTAACGTGCTTCACAGTATGTTTAGTACTGTGCTATTGTTAGCTTGTATTTTACTCATAAATGAAGCCCAGAGAGGTTTAATAACTTGACTAAAGTAAGAGCGCCAGAATCTGATGGGCTGCAACTGTGGTGTGTGGATGGAAGTTTCTACCGGTCCTGCAGCCGTTCAGTCCCAAATAAACACACAGAGGCTTATATTACTTACAAACTGTTTGGCCAATGGCTCAGGCTTCTTACTAACAAGCTCTCACAACTTAAATTAAGCCTTAATTCTTAACCTATGTTTAGCCATGTAGCGTGGTACCTTTTCTCAGTAAGGCATTCTCATCTTTCTTCCTCTGTGTCTGGCTGACTACCGTGTCTCTGCCTTTCCTCTTCCCAGAGTTCTCCTCGTCTGGTAGCCCCGCCTATACTTCCTGCCTGGCTACTGGCCAATCAGCGTTTCATGAAACCAGTGCTAGTGACAAATGTTTACAGTGAACAGGAGTGTTATCCCACATCAGCGGTGTGTGCCCTCAGTACACGGAGCGGTGCCTTTATAGTTCTGTGACGTGGTGGTCATCTTCTCTGCACCCTTTGTTCACTGTCTCTTAATCTCAGTAAGTGCCATCTATCCTTCTGCCTGGAGTAGCACTGCCTTAATGTTCGGTGCGGCGTCACCTAGGCACGTTTGTTGCCCTCTCCAAGCCCATGTGGTCTGCCGCTGCTGCTCAGTTGACATTTTGACCTTTTACGTGTGGGGCTAGTCCTTCATTATTTCATCTAGTTTGCCATTAGGTCCTGCCAAACTGTGCATGAAAAGTTTGTGGATTGAATTCTTCTCTCCACTTCTCATTCGGAAGATGACTGCTGTATTTCAGAGTGACATGGCACAGTTGAATTGCAGCAGTGCCTCCAAACTGGCCAGTTGTATGTTGTACTTTGCAAAAATTGTTTAACCTTGGGGCTGTTTTTACAGGCGAGGGGCTGTGTTGGGGATAGTGGCGGGGCGTGGGGCCTGCCTTCTAGGTCCTTGCCCCCTTGCTGTCTTGCAGGGCGAGCATTCCATGGAGCAGTTTGCTTTACCTTGTTCAGCGTGTAGCTTCCAGCTTACTGTGCTGAAATACCATCTCAGTTATGCTTTCCCCTCCATTAGTGAGACAGTGTTGGGCAGGGGGCTGGGTTCTGTCCTGTAGTCTGCCTGTGACCTCCTCCCCAGCCTCTTCTGTTACGATGTGACAAGGGGAGCCTGGCCTCAGAAAGCTTCCCTGGTGGTCTCCATCCGGCTGCAGGCCATGGGGCTCCCCATTTTGTTTTGGTCCATGCCATTTCTTTAGACAGGTTTGTGTTAGCTGGCTATAGTGGTGCGCTCCCGAGATCCTAGCACACAGGTTGAGAAGGGAAGATCTCTAGAGGTTTTGGGCTACATGGTGAGTACCTGGCCAGCCTGGTCTATAGAGTAAGGCATTGTCTCAAAAAATAAAATAGAGAAAAGAGAAAGAAAAGTTTGTTGTCATTATTATTATCATTATCATCTTCCTGTAGTCTGTTTTATTCTCCTGTCAAGGCCTGCTTTGTTAAGTGTCTCCCTGGGGTACTTTCTACCCTGAGATAGTTCTCAAGGTTCCTAATGTGATACTCATTTGATTATGTGCTATGTCCTTTTTTTTCTACAAAATTTAGGCATCCAAACTTAATGGGAACTAATTTAGTAAATATGTGGCAGCACCCAGCTTAAGAAACAGAATACTCTGAGTGCGTTTGACGCCTTCTGTGTGTGTGCCTTCCCAGTTGTGTCTCCTTCCCACTCCGAGAGGAGGGGCACCATCCTGAAACGGGTGTTTGACCTTTCCGTAGTGCTCTCATAAAACATTTTAGCTTTATAAAACATACAGCTTTGTCACTGACTTTACAGTTTCCTTCTTTTGCTGTCGTTCTTCTCTGGGGCTGGAGAGTCTGCAGTGTTCAGCCCCGCTTTAGAGTCAGAGCTCTGGATTCCCAGGCAGTCTTGTATGGCCCCCCCCATCCTCAGATTCATGCATTCAGTGTCCTAACAAGGCTGGTGTAAACATAGGCAATACACGGAGCTGCCCCTGCTGTGTATTCCAGGTACCACAAAGGTTTTGTGATGCCCACGTTTTTAAGTTTTGTCATACTGGACTTCAGAAACATCAGAACTCTGGTTGTTGGAAGCATATGTAGTTGTGTATAATTCTTGTCGAAGTGAGGAGATATGTTTACCAAACAGGTCTTGCTCTCCAGCCACATTTAAGATCGACAGTTACTTAAAAGTTAAAGTTCACTGATTCGGGCGTAGTAGAAAACATTAGTGTGGAGCAGTGAAGACTATGGAAAGGTTAAGTGTGTGCACTGCTGAAATACACTTTCAAGCTGGGTGACTTATTTTTGATGTAAGCTGCCGTTAGTTAAGCTGTAGGCATTAAAGAAATGGTATGAATGGGTAGTTTGGGGGAAGTAAAGTTGAAGATTGGAGTAAAAGAATTGGCGGTTCAGGGTATATTTACATAGTTGAAAAATGAAAATCATCTCAAGTCAGATATTTCTACTAATGGCAGAAGTTGGAAATTGTTATATGGAATCAAAAGCAAAGATAGAGGAATAAATAGATAGTATTCATGTTTTCCTTAACATGGGAACATGAACTAGCTTGTGACATCCCCGTGCATGGTCCTAGGCTGTGAGTAAGAAGTGTAAACTCAGGGCAGAGAAGCCTGAGCACGCAGGAGTTGGGATGGGTAGGGTA